GGCTACTGATCATGTCTGCAATTCATTGCAGGGGTTCCAGGAAACCAAGCGACTTAGGGAAGGAGAGGTTACCATCTACTTGGGCGATGCTAGTAGAGCGTCAGCAGTTGCAGTGGGAGACGTCTATTTAGATTTTGGCTTAGATAGGTTTCTAGTTTTGAAAGATTGTCTTTATGTTCCCAGTTTTAGAAAGAATTTGATTTCGGTTTCTAAGTTGTTTATGAACGGTTTTTCCACTACGTTTGATAATAAAGTTGTTATTCATTTTGGCAAAAAGTTCATATGCTCTGGTTCATTAGTTGACAATCTGTACATTCTAGAATCTAAGTCATCTCCACTGCAACAGAAACAATTACTTAATTCATCATCTAATCTGAATAAGAGAAAGGAACCCTCTAAAATGAACGAAACATATCTTTGGAATCTAAGACTTGGTCATATTAACCTTAGGAGGATTCAAAGGTTGGTAGCAGAGGGGCCCTTGGGGTCGTTAGAAGTCGAGGCTTTTCCAACTTGTGAGTCTTGCCTGGAAGGTAAAATGACTAAGAGGGCTTTTAGTTCAAAGGGGCATAGAGCCGAAGATGTGTTAGGGCTAGTTCATTCCGATCTATGTGGTCCTATGAGTATTCAAGCGAGAGGTGGTTTCGAGTACTTCGTTAGGTTTATCGATGATTACTCGAGATAAGGATACATTTTCCTTCTGCACTACAAGTCTGAATGCTTTGAGAAGTTCTTGGAGTATAAGGCAGTTGTGGAGAAGCAGTTAGGAAAAAGTATCAAGTCATTACGATCGGATCGTGGTGGCGAATATCTCTCAAATGAATTTAGGAGCTACTTGACAGATAATGGGATTACGTCCAAGCTGACTGTGCCTGGCACGCCTCAGCAGAATGGCGTAGCAGAATGGAGGAACAGGACTCTTATGGAGATGGTTAGGGAAATGATAAGTTATAGTACATTACCAGATTCGTTTTGGGGATATGCCCTAGAAACAACGGTATACATTCTGAATAGAGTACCTTCTAAATCAGTACCATCTACACCATTGGAGTTGTGGTCTGGGCATAAGCCTAGTCTAAGACATCTCAGGATTTGTGGTAGCCCAACACATGTGCTGAGAACCGATATTGATAAGTTGGAACCGAGATCAGAAGTAAGACTGTTTGTGGGATATCCTAAGGAAACGAAAGGTGGTCTATTTTATAGTCCCGAGGACCAGAAAGTAATCGTTAGCACGAATCCTAGGTTCTTGGATGAAGACTATGTCTTAGATCATAAGCCCAGTAGTAGACATGTTCTTGAGGAACTAAAGGGAGTGAGTACTTCAATACCGAGTGCGCTAGATGTTACACCACAAAGTACTGCAACATGTATCGCTGATGATGCACCTGAGCAGGTAGTACCTCGTCGTAGTGGGAGGGTTGTCCGACAACCCGAACGGTTCATGGGTCTGGGAGAGTCTTCTGAGGGCGTCCCGGACGTTCTTGAATCCGACCCATGGACATACAATGAGGCACTCCAAGATCGGGACGCAGAGTCTTGGCAAAAGGCGATGAAGTCTGAATTAGAGTCAATGGACACTAATCAGGTCTGGGATCTTTTAGAGCCACCCAGTGGCGTTCGAGCCATTGGATGCAAGTGGGTCTATAAGAGAAAGAGAGGATCAGATGGGAAGGTTGAGACCTTCAAAGCTAGGCTTGTTGCAAAAGGGTACACTCAGAAAGAAGGGATCAATTATGAGCACTGTGTGTACAAGAAAAGTGATGGAAACGTGGTGGTGTTTCTAGTGCTGTACGTGGATGATATTCTTCTCATTGGAAACAATGTGAAGATGTTGTCAGACATAAAGGTATGGTTATCCAAGCAGTTTGATATGAAGGATTTCGGTGAAGTAGGACAAGTTCTCGGAATCAAGGTTTTTCGCGACCGAGAGAAGAGAAAGTTGTGCCTATCCCAATCCACATACATAGATACTGTCCTAAAGTGTTTCAACATGCAGGATTCCAAGAAAGGGGATTTGCCCTTTCGGCATGGAATACCTCTATCTAAGAGGATGGCCCCGAAGACGCCTCAAGAAATAGAGGACATGAAGGCAGTTCCTTATGCATCGGCAGTAGGAAGCCTCATGTATGCGATGTTGTGCACGCGACCTGATATTTGTTATGCCGTGGGCATGGTAGCAAGATATCAAAGTAATCCAGGACCGGAACATTGGTCTGCGGTAAAACATATACTCAAGTACCTTCGTAGGACTAAGGAGTACATGTTGGTTTACCAGGCAGATGAGTTGCTTCCGTTGGGTTACACCGATTCTGACTTTCAGGCAGACCGGGACGAAAGCCAGTCAACCTCAGGGTTTGTGTTTACTTTAGGAGGAGGAGCCATAGTATGGAGGAGTGTCAAGCAGAAATGCGTGGCGGACTCAACCAAGGAGGCTGAGTATGTAGCTGCCTCAGAGGCAGCGAAAGAAGTTGTCTGGCTCATGAATTTTCTCCTCGAGCTTCATGTGGTATCGAGTTTGCCCGCTGCAGTCACAGTGTTCTGTGATAACAGCGGAGCAGTAGAAAATTCGAAGGAACCACGGACTCATAAAGCAAGTAAACACATAGAGCGCGAGTACCACCCGATACGAGAAATCATTGAATGAGGAGAAGTCGTTGTTGCCAAGTAGGGCGACATAGGAGACTAGTCTTTGAGAATTAGATTG